GTGACGAGTCCGTCATCTGGGAGCGTGTGCACGGGGAGGGGGCGCTGGGCAGGCAGTGGGGACCGGCTGCTGGCGGGACTGTCCGAGTGCGGGCGATAGAGTTCGTTTCTGTGTTGTGTGTGGCTTTTATATCTGAGGGGAAACTATACCAGCGCATTGGGCTGTGTTTCCGAGAGGGGAGTGCATGTGTGTGTGTGCCCGAGTCAGGGTGCTGTGTTCTGAAATGATGCGTGTGAGTGTGTTTATTGAGTTTTGTGTTTTCGAGGAGGAAGTGTGTGTCCAGAATGTGTTATATCTCTGAGAGGAGCACTATCTTGCTATTTTTAACATTTTTAAAAAATGAAGGGAGATGGAGAGACAGAAACATCACTGATGACAGGAAACATCATTGATCAGCGGCCTCCTGCACACCCTCCACCAGGGATCGAGCCCACAACCTGGGCATGTGCCCTTGACCAGAATTGAACCGTGACCTCCTGGTTCATGGGCCGATGCTCAACCACTGAGCCATGCTGGCCGGGCTGTATTTATAAGCACCCCTGCGGAGGGTGTGTGAGTTGTATTTCTTCTGAGAGGGGAGTGTGTTTGTGTGTGCGTGTGTATGTGAGGGCTCCAGAGGCACCACCGAGTGTGCACTGGCTTTGTCACCCACATACAGCCACACGAGGTCCCACGTGTAAGACCCCCCCCTGCTATGATCTGGGCCTCAGACCCTCAGCTGTCGCGTGGCCAGTTACACCCATGGGCCACGCCTGTCACTTGTGTGTCCCAACACGCCTTGGGCTGGCTGGGCCTGTCGGCAGTGGAGGGCGGACCCCTGTTCTCTCAGCGTCTGTCAGCTCCTCAGGGCCCGGGAGCCCACACATGGGGTCCCCCTCGCCGACCCCCCCATCTAGAGGCACCTCTGCTTCCGGCACCCCAGCCCCTCGGCCCTCGCCTCCTGCCCTACCTCCCAGCCCCAGCGGTCTGACTGGTTCGCAACAAAAACACCCTAAGAATGAGCTCACAGTGAGGCTGCCGCCTCCACACACCCCGCCCCACACGCCCAGCGGAGGAGGGCGCCTCCCGCTCCCG